TTTTCCCCCCTAGTTGTGAGGGCAGTAACCCTCAGCTTTTTGCTCAAGATTAGCGCCTCACCCCCACAACTTGGAGGTTTTCCCTCCAATCACTTCCCCAGCTGTTGGGAGCCCTTGGGAGCTGACAGTAAAGCTCAAAGGTCATCTTGACCCCTGGGCTAGCTTAAAGGCATGTATAAGGAACTGGCTTACTTAAAAGACACCAGGTGCCCAGGATTGCTTTGCTAAGTCTGCAGTTTGTTTTAAATTTTCCTTGTTTTTTGGACTATAGTAGAACGGCCTGAGTGTGGGGGCCGATGAGGATGCACCTTGCCGCACGTGTGGAACTCCCAATACCCAGGCTGCTCCCATGTTCTGAAGAGGACGACCTTAGAAGATTACTGACTTTTATATATGCCCAGGAATTAATTGAACTGCTTGGGACATTTCTAACTGTAGCAGGGCTGATGTTTATTACTGTGCTAGGTGGGGATGTGAGGTAACTGGGACAGGCTCTTGGATCATGCACAAGGGCCCTCCCTATCCTTGTCTTGTGAATCTCACCCCCCAGACTTGCCTCCAACCCCCTGCGTGGCCAATGCTATCCTTACCAATGTAATCCTGTTAAAATAACCTTTACAGAGGAGGGAAAAGGGTAACTAACTAGGAGGGTCTGCCATTAAAACAAAAAAGGGGAATCTGTAGGGCACATGGGCAGCAAAGATGGTGCTGAGAGGGAGTTGAGTGGGCAGAGCCCAATTTGCCTTACGTTCAGTGCGTAACCAGCCCGTGGAAGCTTAGGTGCATGATAGGGTGTGACCTTGACAGTGATTGGATCCTCTTCCTCCCCTACCATGCCACCTGCTCTTTTTTGCTTTAAAAATGGCTTAATAAACTAGTTTTTTCCTGCTTGATTTGACTCCCCGGTGTGTGTGATTGTCTCCCTGGCTAAGGGAAGCTGGGGAACGGGCAAGTGGCCGCACTTACCTTTCCTCAGACCCCGTCCATCTTTCGTGGGACGGGCAAAGATCCGACACCCAGCTCTGGCCCCAGGCCCCCCAGTGAACTGAAGGGCAGCCCTGCCCTGGTCCCCATATCTGCCCACCTCAGTCCACTCACTGTCCTTCAGGGTCAATCACGCCAGGCCACAGACATCTCTCCAGTCTGCTGTTCACAGCCACGTGCCCAGCATGTCTGAACAGTGTCTGGCCCAGAGCTGGCTCAACTGGGTGTTGGATAGGAAGTGGACACGTGGTGCAGGAGCTCCCTGAGGAAGCAGTTTTCTCCCTGGGCTTGGAAACAGCCTAGATGGCTGAGGCCCAATGCCCCTGCCTGCCCTCCCCGCTCCAGGTTGGCCCAAGGACCCAGACCTTACCTGTCAGATCCCCAAGCATCTCGGCCAGCAGCCAGCGGTCGATGTGCTGGTAGGTGATGCCCACCACATGGCAGATAACTGGTTGGGAACAAAGGTGCAATTGGACGCTACAGGGCCCTGCTGCCATCCCGGCCTCCCCTGCAGAGCCCATGCTTGGTGGACTTACACTTCCGCACAGAGTCCTCGAAGCCAGTTATGCCTTCCAGAAGGTCCATGTTCTCATCCAGGGCTTGCTGAGAGGAGGAGGGTAGAGGGTTACCACTAATAGCAGTGCTCGGGTTAAAGTGTGGAAGGCCAGGCAGGATTCCAAGCTCACGGCCAGCCTGGGACATGTAGCGAGACCCTAGCGTGTCTCTATGTCCCCATTACTGCCATTGTACTTACTTTAGCACAAGCCTGGAGACTAAGACACAGCAACTAAGTGACTAGCCTACAAGCATGGGTTTAAAGCTGGCAGGTGGGAACAGCAGCCTCCAGAGAGAGGACACATGCAGATCAGTCAACCTTCGGGCCAACGTCCCCTGGCCCAAGCCCCATAGGATTTATGCGCCATTTCTGTGCCCTTACTCCACCCATCTTGCCCTCACTAGCCTCCAGCCTCTGGGCCTCTCTGACATACCAAGCACCCACCCATCTCAGGGCCTTTGCACTGCCACAGTGCCTGGAACCCCCCTCCCCCCATGACTGCCCCTTGCCCCTCAGGAACAGCAGCCAGTGAGCTAGAGGATAACTAAGAGAACAGCTGCTCTGGGAGTCGCTGGTGAAGGGGTGGAGGATGCCAGGTGAGATCACCCACATGGAGGCCAAAGGGACAGGTTAGGATGAGGCTGGCCTACCGGATCCAACAATGTGGAGAGCACTATAGAGATCTGACAGGAGCAAACTGACTTGTGAGATAGGGTCTTACTATTCTCCCAGGCTTGCTGAGGTTATGAACGGTGTATGTGTGGAGGAGCAGGGGCAGGTCAAACCCCACTCTACGTGAGCACAGGGAGCAGGAAGCAGAGCAGAGGCAGCCTGTCTCAGAAGGATAACTGACAATGCCAACTTGCCCATTTGATATGACTTTCTGGAATGTGAGGCTTTCAGGGCTTTTGTTTTTAAAAGCAAGCAACTGTCTGAAATTTCTATAACCTTGCTCTGGATGGAGCAGGACAAGGCCTCAAACCCTTTCAAGATTGTTCTGGCAAGCTCTGTAGGAATGCACAGGGCCACAGCAGACCCAAGCACGCTGGAGGCTTGCTAGAGGCTTTATACGAAAACCAGGCCAGGTGCCCGTGGCTCACACCTGCAATCCTAGCTAGTCACGAGGCTGAGATTTGAAGATTGCAGTTAAAGCCAGCCCAGGCAGGAAACTCATCCCCACCAAACTACCAAAAAAGCTGGAAGTGGGGCTATGGCTTAAGTGGTAGAATGCTAGCCTTGAGCCTCTTAGGGACAGAGCCCAGGCCCTGAGTTCAAGCCCCAATACTAGCAAGAAACAGAGCCAGCTGGCCCCTGGCACAGAACACAACTAGAGAGGGCAGAGGGGAGGGACGAAGCTGGTGGAGGAGGTGGCAGACCAAAGAGAACGCTTTTTCCCAGCAAGCAGCCATGATGCAAACTGCACTGGAAGGGCAGGTGGGACGTTAGGAAGGGTAGATAATAGCTGTGTGTTGTGGTGAGGGGTAAGGGAAGGTCTCCAGGGGCGGAAGGTGACCATGGTCAGTTTCTCTGAGGTCACAGAAAAGGCTATACACAAGGATATGTGTGAATCTTGCTCTAGCTTTTCTTATTTTAAGTTCCAGGCTGGGCTTGCCCGTGTGCTCCTGGGCTCTCGCCAGCTGTGTTCACCCTCTCAGGTCCAGCTGTGCAGGGAGCACACAGAGCTCCTTCGGGCCTGAATATGGAGGTCAGGTGGCTCAGTGTGAGGCTGGACATCTTACAGGAGCTGAAAAGCTGGAGGAGAGCATGGGGCACAGGGCCTCCACCAAGCCAGCTGCTCCCCTCACCCACCCCACCCACCGACCAAGGAAGTTACCCAGAAAGCCTGGAAGTGGCAGGTCTCTAGCAGGTCCCCAAGGTACAAAATCTGTCGGATAGGCCGTTCTTCTTGCTGGGGGGAGGGCATGTTAAGAGAAAATGGCCACGAAGCCCAGGGAGGCTGGGGTCAAGGCCTTAGAGCATAAATCTGCCCACACCAGCTGGGGATCCCAAAGCTTTCCATGGTTCTCCCATGCCGTGAAGCCAGTCCCATTCCACTGAGAAATGGTGGCTTGCCACATTGCGATTATCCCACAGTATCCAAGGCAGCTCTGAACGCTTCCTTCCTGCCTTCCTCCCAGGTGCTCTCTGGGGTCACCCTTGCCTTCTCTTGGCTTTCACGCATTCTCAATCTCAGGAGGCTTCTAGAACCTAGGAAAGGGGAGTGGGGCATGTCCTGCTGGTTCCTCCAGCCCCAGCGCTGACCATGATAGGCTGTCAAGGACAGGAGTCTGGTCATCTCCTCACTGGACTGTGAACCCTGACTGAAAGCAGAGCCAGGCCATCCCATCACTGCAGTGTCCCGCCCAGGTGAGCGAGCCTGGGCCAGTTCCTCGGTGCCCAGTGTAGGACATAGTGAAGGATACATGTGCCTGGTCGATCATGCACTTGCACAAGGTGAAGTCGGTGTGGGGCAGGTTGGTGAGGGCCTTCAGCAGGATCTGGGCGGTGACAGTGGTCTGAAAGAAGGCTGGGTTGAACTGGTACCTGAGGAGGGACACAAGAGACATGGCACAGTGGCACCCCCAGGTCCCCAGGCTTTGCCGGGTGCCACTGCTTTACTCTGGAGCTTGAGAGTTGGGCAGACCTGCATTCTAGGCCCAATCACACTTTCTGGCAGAGGAACCCTAAACTTCAAGCTCACTTCTCCTGGCTGAAGATGGGGACAGTAAATCCTCATGCCCTCTACTACTGAGCCACATTCCCAGCCCCCTCATAAACACCTAATAGGGGGATACTAGTTTGTGAGGAGAGCCAGGTGTGGTGGCTCAAGACTGTAATTCTAGCTACTTGGGAGGCAAGAGATTAGGGGATCACCATTAGAGGCCAGTCTTAGTTGAGACTCTATCTCAACCAACAGCTGGGTGCACTGGTATGTACCTGTCATCCCTGGTAACATAGGGAAACACAGTAGGAAGGTCATGGCCCTAAGAGACCCCATCTCAAAAATGATCAAGCCATGGGCTAGGAATGTGGCTTAGTGGTAGAGTGCTTGCCTAGCATGTATGAAGCCCCAGGTTTGATTCCTCAGTACTACATAAGCAGAAAAGGCTGGAAGTGGTAGAGTGCTAGCCTTGAGCAAAAGCAGCTCAGGGACAGTGCTCAGGCCCCGAGTTCAAGCCCCAGGACTGGCAAAA